TCCCTCTAAGTGAATGAGATGGTTCGAAAACCAAATATCAAATCTTCTATAACTTAAAAATGAATCTAATTACTCTCTGAAATTAATTGTTCTAACCTAATAGCTAGGATATTTGTGTTTTAATGTAATAATTCAAATTAAATTTTATATATCTGAATTTTTGTCATACAAGAATTGTCAAACACATGATCACAAACTGTTGTTCTTCTAATTTTACATATTATGAATCTTATATAAATTTAATAGTTTACAATTTTTCAATTTGTAGGTTCTATTTTTTCTCGTACATTACTTTTTTTTTTCTATTTTATTAGTTTACAATTTTTTTCAAAACTCCTTGTCATTTGTTTTGCTATTTTATCTATTTATAAATAAATTACTTCTTATTTGTGTAATGTGGTCTAACATAAACTTGTGGCAGGTATCCAGATGATATCTATGATCGTGTATGGCATGCATCCTTCCTGGAGAATAATTGGGCACAAGTAACAACGACTCTAGATGTAAACGTTACTGATAATTATGAGTTATCACAAGATGTAATGGCAACGGGCGCAACACCTTTAAACGATAGCGAGACATTGAACATTACATGGAACGTAGAGCCTCCTACTACAAAGGTTTACTCCTACATGCACTTTGCAGAGCTTGAGACACTAAGGGCCAACGATACAAGGGAATTCAATGTGATGCTGAATGGAAATGATTTATTTGGACCTTACAGTCCAATACCGCTAAAGACAGAAACCGAAACCAACTTAAAACCAGAGGAATGCGATGATGGGGCATGTATTTTGCAGCTTGTGAAGACGTCAAAATCAACTCTTCCGCCTTTACTTAATGCTATCGAGGCTTTCACGGTGATTGATTTCCCGCAACTGGAGACAATTGAAGATGATGGTATGTCGATTCTTTACATTATTGATCTTAGTTACAAATATTTTTCGTGTTGTGTGTTGGTTCTTGTCTTCTTGATATCATCAAGCTTTACAATCGTAGCTGCTGCTATAAAAAATGTTCAAGATGCTTATGGATTGAAAAGAATCACTTGGCAAGGAGATCCATGTGTCCCCAAACAGTATTCGTGGGACGGTTTAAAGTGCAATTACTCGGACACTACTCCACCAATAATCAATTACTTGTAAGAAGAATCATTAAATAGATTTTCTTGATTTGTTCAATAATTTCCATTTAGGACTAGATATCTCACAGTTTCTTTCTCCAGAGACTTGTCTGGAAGTGGATTAACCGGGATCATAACGCCTGCCATTAAAAATCTTACTCACCTAGAAATATTGTAAGTCCATATCTCCACGGCTGACCAAGCCTATATTTTTTTCACCATTGGCAATGAATAATGTTTAATGAGTTATTTCACTTTTTTTGTTAATGGTAGGGCCTTGCCAAATAACAATTTGAGTGGAGAAGTACCTGAATTTCTAGCTGACTTAAAATCAATCATGGTCATGTAGGTTTTTCATGAGACACTACAATATTATTTACTCTTGCATTCTCCTGAACATGTTTGTTTATCTTTTAACTATACTCCAATAGAGACTTAAGAGGTAATAATCTCAGTGGTCCAGTTCCTCTCTCGCTTCTTCAGAAGAAAGGATTGATGCTACAGTAAGCTATATTTTTGTTTCTTTCCTACTGTTATCACGGCAATTGTTGTATTTTCTATCTTTAACAACACTCACATTCTGCAGTCTCGACGGCAATCCCCAAATTATTTGCTCAACTGGTTCATGTATGCACAAAGGAGAAGGCGAACAAAAGAGTATCCTTGTACCAGTGGTTGCATCAATTGTTTCATTGGCTGTTATTATAGGTGCACTCGTCCTGTTCCTTGTTTTCAGAAAGAAAAAGGCATCAAAAGTTGAAGGTATTAATAAATAAGCTCAAGAGTAATATTAAAACATATATACATACACATCAAACTTAACAAGATTTTGCCTTATAACCTTAGGGCCACTACCATCTTATATGCAAGAATCAGATGGTAGATCGCAGATAACCTCTGAACCGGCAATAGTGACCAAAAGTAAAAAGTTTACTTACTCACAAGTTGTGATAATGACAAATAACTGCCAAAGAATTCTTGGGAAAGGAGGGTTTGGAATCGTTTATCATGGTTTTGTGAACGGTATTGAACAAGTAGCTGTTAAGATACTCTCTCATTCATCATCTCAAGGATATAAACAATTCAAAGCCGAGGTAAACTCTCACTTTCGTCACTGTCTTAAATGAAAACATCAATGATTCAGCTATCTTTAAAAACTTGAACTTATGTATTTTGGCTTGGTGTTTAGGTAGAACTTCTTCTTAGAGTTCATCACAAGAATTTGGTTGGTCTTGTTGGGTATTGCGACGAAGGAGAGAACATGGCTCTTATATATGAATACATGGCCAATGGAGATTTAAAAGAACATATGTCAGGTAAGTAGACAAACATGACCTAACCATATAATATTGTTGTAGTTTTATGGTGATAGCATCAGACATTGATATCTTTCTCTCCATTAATTAAAACACAGGAAGAAGAAACCGATTTGTTTTAAATTGGGGAACTAGACTAAAAATAGTCATCGACTCTGCGCAAGGTTGGTTTACATAGTATCCCTAATATTTTTCTTATCTTTGTTTCTTTGCTTTTCATTTGATTGAACTTTTCGGATTTTGTGGTATAGGACTTGAGTATTTGCATAACGGATGCAAACCACCAATGGTTCATAGGGACGTCAAAACCACAAATATATTGTTGAATGAACACTTTGAAGCCAAATTAGCTGATTTTGGGCTTTCGAGGTCATTTCCGACTGGAGGTGAAACTCATGTGTCAACAGTTGTTGCTGGAACTCCCGGATATCTCGATCCCGAGTAAGTATTATAATTTAAAAGAATTAAGTTTTATTGGAAAAATAAACTGATAAAATTCTATGCTCCAAATTATCCAGATATTACAAAACAAATCGGTTGACAGAGAAGAGTGATGTATATAGTTTTGGGATTGTATTGTTGGAAATGATCACAAATCGGCCTGTGATCGACCAAAGCCGTGAAAAGCCATATATAGCAGAATGGGTGGGGTTAATGCTTACGAAAGGAGATATCATAAGCATTATGGATCCAAGTCTAAATGGAGACTTTGATTCTGGTTCTGTGTGGAAAGCTGTTGAACTAGCAATGTCTTGTCTGAATCCTTCTTCAACGAGAAGACCTACCATGTCTCAAGTTGTTATTGCATTAAACGAGTGTTTGGTATCTGAAAATTCAAGGGGAGGAGCGAGTAGGGACATGGACTCAAAGAGTTCCATAGAGGTCAGCTTGACATTTGATACTGATGTGAGCCCAACGGCTCGGTAGATTACACGATAAATTTGTTTATATGTTTTTATTTTACATATAACTATCCTCAAATTCGTGTCTCTCTTATAGGTCACCTTTGTTAATGAGCTATGAGCCTTTGACTTTGATACATGTTAATAAAAGTCAAAGTCTATTATTTTTCCGCCGTAATGTATCAGTTTCGAATCAATGCATTTTTTGTTTGGAAAATAAAGTTTTACGCTTGTTCTTGATTAGTATTGGAACACCTCGACCTCGGATGCTCCTGCGTTGGAATGTTATGGGATTTCCGTTGAATAGATATAGTCCAGCGAAGAAGATGATCACCATGCACGTGATTATATTTTTCTTAATCAACTATTAGCGGCTTATTTTATTGATTTGGCTAAGGATTGGCAAATTGATTTTTATTTTTGCTAGCAAAGTTGCTAGTTTTTTAAAGAACAAGACATTGGTTTATAAACATGGACTTATTGATGAGTTCGATCAATCTTCGGCGATGATGATATTTTCCTCGCCCTTAAACATCTTTTTGATTAAATTTCTAGCCCTCGTGAGTTGTTTCTCGATCTCGCAATCACGCGAGTTATTTCAAGATCTCGCAATCGCGAGGTACATCCGAACCTCGCAATCACGCGAGCTACATCCAAACCTCGCAATCGCGGGTGTAATTTCTATTACTTGAACCCTACGAACGGGTATAAACGTCGATGACATAATGGCTAGGTATATTGTAGCCGATTTGAACCCTACGATCGGGTATAAACGTCGATGATCGACAACCGGGTATAAAGCCGTTATTTTGAATACTTGTCTAATCACACACGTGTTACCACATATGAGCTTGCCGGGGGTATTGAGAGAACCGGAGATCGACGGTCGAGATGATCATCCAAGAATATGAAAATTATGAAGATCGAGAATGATCTAGAAGATTATCATATTTTAGTTTAGGAATATTTACATTTATCTCGAAAGTATAATTCACATTTATCTTTATCTTAGATTAAGAAATTAGATTAATCTTATCTCTATATAAGAGAATGTATCTTGTACAATTATTCGGATGAGAGTCTATTATAATTTTTCCGCAACACTTTTTGTGTTCTTTGCTATCTCTTATCAGAATTTTCAGCCAGTACCACAGGAAGAGTACTCACTCGCGGAGTAACAACATAAAAACCTGTATTAGGACATTACTTCTAATACCCATTACTTCTAGCATCAGAGAAATAACGGGCTGCGTATTTGCCAAAACAATTATCAATAGAAGCAAAGGGACATTCAGATTCTTGAACCACCGCATCATGTGAGACAATGGAATCACCCGTTTCTATGTGATATAGTCTCCACCATTTTTATCATAAGGATAATCTATAATCATTTGATGATTTCTCCTTTTCTTTGATTGCACACCATTTAAACAAACTCTAATCCGGATTATTTATCTATATATTTGGCTCGATTAAATTTGCTGATATTTTTGTTGGTAATTTTTTCTCTCTTGATTGAATCACCAATAGTAAATCTTTATATTTCAATTTAATAGTGTAGTTAACAGAAATAATTGTGTGATTCTAAGACTTTCATATACTTAGGGCCTGATTGGTTGCGACTGTAGCTTTAGGATTTTAGCTGTAGAAATTTGTCTGTAGATTTTTCTGCTATAGTTGTAGAATTTAGGCTGTAGAATTAAATGAAAGCATGATTGGTAAAAATAGCTGTGACTTTTTTAAAGTGAAAACATGAGATAAATATTAGGTATATATTTTGATTTTTCTTTTTAATTTTTACTACTAAACAAAAAAAACACCATCTATATGGCTGTGGAAAGACTCTAAAGACACAACCAATCAGGCCCTTAGTTAGATAAGCAAAAAACTAGAATCACTGGAGAACCTTGTCTTTATGGCAAAATTTAAGGAGATGTACTAAAAATAGACATATGTAACTTTCGTTATAAATACTTGTAAGCTTTGTTCATTTTTATTAAACTTTTAAAACATCATCAATTCTTCCATAGCAAATGAGGAGTAAACGCAATCCTCTCTCGGCCACTATTATCACTATCTTCACCATCCTTGCTATAGGTTTGTAATTGTATTTACATTTCCAACTGTTTAAGTGTTTTATTTATTATCATTCGAATCTAAATTAATTGTCGAAAACATGTTATTTAACAAAAAAAAAAAATTCAACTATCTTATGTTATATTTTTTAATCTTAAACGACGGAACTCAATACAGTTATTACCATAAAGTGCCTTTCACATTCAACTTATGGTGCATCTATTTGGCATCCCCTAATTATGGAATAGTTATATATGGTGATTGAGAACATACTTTAACGGCCTTTTTAATACCATTTTTTGGTGTTGCGCATACCTAGTAAAAATCAAGAGAGTAACAATTGATGTTAAACAAATTTCTATCTTTTTTTAGAAATTTAATGAAAAGTCCCTCATGGGCTGATCAATTTTAAACAGTTTAAGTATCAATCTATGCATTTTAAACCCTTCCAGTATCAATCTATGCAAGTATCAATCTATGCATTTTAAACCCTTGCAATAAATCATTAGTGAAAAAACATTTCAACTAAAGATCCATTACAAAAATAAGCCTTTGTTTATATTATCGTCGAAATACTTCCATTGAATCAATACTTTACATTTTGGTTTGTTAAAAGGTGAAGATTATAGTTTTCACAAAAATAAGGGAAACTGATGTTTGGTTAAAACATAACATCAGAAATATGATTGAAAATCTCAAACGATCATGTCAATATAACTATGATATCACTTCCTAGGCTGCATAAAACGACGGTTAATAAATCCATCTAGAGTTTTAGAAATTCAGCGCATTTGAAGAGAAGTATGAGAACGATATACGGTTTCTACTTTCTCACAAAGATTTATTTTTTATATATTTTAGCTAGAATTATATGATTATTGTTATTATATTTCTAGTGATATATTATTTTTCAACAATCAACTCTATATGTGTGTGTATTTTATTAATATACATAAATTTCGTTAAAAAGATATAAACATATATGTTCTATTGTTAAAAATGGAAACTTATATTTTTTGTGTTAAATATTAACCATAATAGGGGTAATGGAAACAATGGGGCAGAAATTGTGTTTTGAAGTTCTACCAAATACATATGGGGTATCTTTGAGTTCATCAACATGTGTCATTCAATGGTGTGCCACTCAATGTAAGAGGAAAGAAGCTAATGGGATCGGTACATGCAAGCCAAGGCCCAATCAAGAGAAAGTACAATATAGAAAACTGAAAGAAGAATGTCACTGCGTTTATAAATGTTCATAAAACTATATTAGATGGTGAACATTAAATCACATATTTGTTTACTATTTTATAAGAAATCGTAATAATTATATTTAATAATACTAAATAAGTAGACCATGATATTCTCTACATTAAAACATATTCATGAGATTCATTATGTTCATGATAAATGATCTTAATGATTAGGTCAACAATCAATAACCAACCTCAAAACAGTTAAAGAGAGTTTTTATGGAATATAAATAAGAAATAAACTATTTTAGAGATAAAGAGTCATAGTATGGTCGTCAATGTCATTTATTCTTTCTACGAGGTTCTCAAGTCACCTTTGTTACCCCCTTGGTATATATCAGATCGTTGCTTTGCCAAGGTAACATTATCGTTAACATTTATGTTTTAATATCGGGAAAATCACATTTTTAACCTTCAAAGTGTAACTGGGTAGCACTTTAAACCTCGAAAAAATTCCACTAACACTATAAACCATCAAGATTGTTTTACTAACACTTTAAACCTCCAAATTAACTTTTCTGTTTGCAAAACCATAAAAGATGGTGGAACAATCAATTTATGTTTGTTTTTAATATATATTAATTTAATTTAATTTAAATTTTAATTAATTTTATTATTTATTACGATTTTGATGATAAATAAAAAAAGTAAAAAAAAATCATCATCTTCGACTATTCACCGTCCGACCACAATTTTTCAGATTTTTATTCAGTTCATTGTATGTGTTCACCATCTTTTTATTCAATTGGTATTATGAGATTCAAATTTATCCACTGGAGAGAGTGAATACGCTTATGGATCAGTCTAAAAGATTGTTTCAACAATTTATCAAGAAATTTCATGGTCGGATGGTGAGTATACGAAGAAAATATATATTTTTTGTTTATTTAAAGAATTTTATTAATTGTAATAAATAATAAAATTAATTTAAATTCAAATTAAATTAAATAAATTTATATTAAACAAACATAAATTATATGTTCCGTCATTTTTTATGGCGGTGCAAACAAGAAAGCTAGTTTAGAGGTTTAAAATGTTAGTAAAATTATCTTGGTGGTTTATAGTGCTACTATAATTATTTCAAGGTTTAAAGTGCTACCCAATTAAACTTTGAGGGTTAAAAATGTTATTTTCCCTTTTAATATCGCTTAGTAAAATAAGTTTGGAGTATATATAGATTCCTATAAAATTCGAATGATTATATTCATATTTAAAAATTCACATTGATAGAATTTTTAAAGTAAAATCGTGCACAACCCGCGGAGTACCAAATACAAGATATCCACATGCAAGAACACAACTTGAAAACCAAGTGAAAGTAGTAGACTTTTTTTAACCAAGAGTCCTCTGTTTGAGAACTTACCACTTTTTTCTTCATAAGGTGAGAATTTTCAGTGGCTTTGAGAGAACCACTCTCTTTCTTAATTGTCATTTCTTTTATAACGTTTAAAGGTAAAGGGGGCATAAATGATAAACATAAAAAATACTTTAGGGTTATTTTAGAAAGACTTAAACCGATCCGGACTCTATTGGCTAAGATCCTCTGTTTTGGCCTGAGTCTCTTCTTCACGGAACTTATCAGTTTTCTCGTTCGGTATGGTCTGACGCGGTATGGTCTGACGAGTTACATTAGCCTTACGGTCATGCTAGAGGGGCCTGATGGTTCTGAGTTCTGAACATTTTCGCTTGTCACACCGCTGCTACCGAATGTATGGCTTTCAAGTGCCATTTTCCTGAATTTCTTCAAATCATCTCTGTATTGTGTTGAGCCGTAATCCGAGCTCCCGTCTAAGCTGTAGCTAGTGGTGTGTTCTGAAGCAGTTCCGTCGGTTACGTCATCTAGAAATAAGTTGCCTTCAAATACTTGAACAATCTGCAATGACCCTAAGTCACAAAGTCTTAGGTTTTATCCTAGTGCGAGGTTAAATATTTGCCACAAAGAATTTCAGTTTGATAGTACCTGGCTCATTGTTGGGCGGCGGTTGGCTGAATGGCGGACGCTAGCAGCAGCGCAAGCAACCACTCTCGTCATTTCGATGACATCAAAGTCATTCTCTAATCGTGGGTCAACAAAACCGTCAAACTTGCCATCCTTGAGAGCTTTTGTCATCAAAGGTTTCGCCTAGAGCATTTTGGAAAACTTAGAAGCTTAATCAAATTTGATGATTGGTGCTAAGGCAAAAAAAAAATCACTCACCCAATCAACGATGCTCTCATCGTCAGGAAATGGCATTGACATATCAAAAGGTCGGCGTCCCGTTATCAATTCGAGAAGCACCACTCCGAACGAGAAGACTGTTGAACTATAATCAAAATCTCGTATAAGTTAGTTATATTCACATTAGTTAGTTACTTGATCAAGAGGCACAAATACTCTGTTTTAAGGTTGTGTCTTTTAGATTAAGAGTTGTGTTCTTTCATTTACACATCACATCTGTTCGGTTTGTTTAAATACTCTAGAACGTGTGATTGTTAAACATATTACTCGAGTTGTAATACTTTTTCAAGTTATCAATAAAGATCAAGTTACAACCATTGTTCTTACTCTGTTTTTTTTTTCTCATTCCTTCAAAAGACTAACAAAGACATCTGATTTGTCAGTGAGTTTCCCAGAAGAGGCATATTCAGGGGCCAAGTAACTGCATCTCACAAGAAAACAAGTTTTAAAGACTGTTAGTATTGGTTATCAACGTATGGTTATGGTTGAATATAGAAAGGGTTTCATACCCGAATGTTCCCATAACCCGAGTGGAAACATGAGTTTCAGTGTCTGAACAAGACCTGGCGAGTCCAAAATCTGCTAACTGATGCATCAGGTTCAACATGATTAAGTTAGTTGGGGAGTTTAAATATATCTCAAAGATGTTTACAAGTTTAAATAATACCTTTGGCTCATAGCTATTATCAATTAAAATATTTGTAGCCTTTACATCTCGGTGTATTGTTTTCGGGTTACCTGATAACCACGAAAAATAAAAGCACTCTTATTGACTCCAAACACATAAAAATTCGAAAGAAATGTTCAAGACAGCCCATTGACAAAGAACTGTACTCACAGTCATCATGCAAGTATGACAGTCCTTTAGCTGAACCCAAGGCAATCTTCATCCTTTTTGCCCACTCCATTACCGGTGCTTCTTTCTCTGCAAATATGAAAGTGTTAAGTCACACAAAGTTACAAACCATTAATCGCAAGGAAGTTAACTTACCGTGCAGATGAAACTCCAGAGTCTTATTAGGCACAAACTCGTAAACAAGGAGTCTTTGACATCTGGTTATGCAATAACCAAGGAGTGAAACAAGATGTTTATGATGGACTCTACTAATGATCTCTATCTCCGCTAGAAACTCTTGTTCGCCTTGTCTGCTTCCAGCTTTAAGCTGTTTAATGGCAACCTCGGTTCCATCGGAAGTAACTCCTCTGTGAACATAGCCAAACCCACCTTGTCCAATGAGGTTGGTGCTGGAGAAGTTACCAGTTGCTTGAGCCAAGTCTTCGTATGTGAACACGTTTTGTGCAATGTCTGAGAAGCTACTTTGATCCCATTGCTGAAGATTATTATTTTCTACAAAATCGAAATCAAAAGATTACTAGTTGCTGAAGATTGTGTTATTTGTAAGCCATAGGACGCAAATTAAGAATTATCATCCAACTTTCCTGACTACATACCTGAACTGGGATGTCGATCGGCTATTCTTTTCCTCTTGCAGATAAATACAATGACGGCTGCAATAAGTAAGATTAAAAAGAGTGTTGATGCAACAACAATATTTGTCTTCTTTTTGCTTGTAGTGGAGTGTGAAGGAGACGAACATACCCCGGGAAATTCATCGACGCTAGTATTAAAAGAAAATTTTAGTTATAAAGTTTAAAGATTTCATTGTGAGTTTTTGTTTCAAACTCACCAAAGGTTTTGACAAAAAGTATAAGGAAGAGAGAGACTCTCGGAGAAACAAAAGGTTTTGCATTTATCCAACAAGGAGGGTGTTGTTTGGAGGACAGTCACGTGAAGCCGCCAAACCAAGTGGTACTAGCTCGAAGTTAATGAGGAGAGAGGGTCTGACAAAAGAACTGGAGTAGTGCACAAGTTGTCTCATTGTGTGCATAAAAACAGAACACCTCTGTTTTATGTTCTTTAAGACAAGTGTGTGAACTGAGCAAGTGAGAGAAAGGGATATTAAAAACCTTAAAGGCTGTGGTTTCCGTGGGATGCTCTGGGAGGCAAATATATGGTTCTGATTTGGGGTATGAACTTGTAAAATATTGGTGTTTAATTTTTACTTTCTTGCATTATAATTCCATTGCACGAAGGAGCTTAAGAGAGTTGAGAGAGATCACACGCATCTAAAACACATTAAGGTCTCGACTTTATTAGCTAAAAGATGTCTCAAATTAATGTACAATCATTACCTTAGTGTAACCAATCCTTTTTGTGCTCTATCAAGGAGACGTTTAGGGATTATTAGACCATTTAGCTCATTGCATGATAGATTTCTGCACGATTTAGAGTCAACAACAGAGTTTGCAACATGTTAGATTTTTTTCTGTGTAAAGAAGAAATTTCAGATTTTGTGACACTTGCGTCTAAACTTACATGAATTTCAATGATTCCATATCAGCCAAAAACTCTGGGACCGAACCAGTCAGATTGTTGTTAGACAAATCACTGCCAGAAAACAAATCCAAACCCATCAGCATATATTCAAATCACAACTTTCATATGTTTTCTGGTGTTTAGAATTACTTACAGTACTTCTAGTGAAGTTAGATTTGATAACGTGTCTGGTATCTCCCCGATTAAACCGCTGGCCGTCAAGTTCCTTTTTAAAGATCGAAATGAGAACAATTAACCTTTTGTGGACCTCTAAATAGCATTTGTGAAGCAATCCATATAATTATACTTACAGAGAAACGATTCTAGGGTGTTTGTTGTGTTTATACTTGCATTTAAGACCGTTCCACATGTATTCATGTGGAACACACGGGTCACCTTCCCAATCAATCTTCTCCCTACCCCACCTAGACTTTATTCGATCAATTGCATCGACTGAGAAGTTGTTATGTAAGTCATTTTTGGTGCTTGACATAAATAAATCAAAAAGTAAAAAGTTTGTTAGATAGTCGATTTACCCTCTGTTTTATCCGTTGCTTGTTTCCCTAAGGGTTTCATAATGTATACCTCCATGGCGTTCAGCAGAGGAGGTAGCGTGGAATCCAAGGTCCTTTGAAACGAAAAAGTGTACTCTCCGTTGGCATTAGGCCCGACTTCCTGATCAATTACTTCGGAGAAAGTGTATAATCTTCTCGGCCTAAAGGCTCTGACGATAATCCTGCCATTGTACATGATATGAAACTCTCTTGTTTCATTAGATTTGAGATCTTGGATCTCAGAAAAGTGCAGGCAAACGTAAAATTGTGAACCCGGTTCCACTCTGGTTAGCGAAATGTTCATAGGAGCGTCCGGGTCTGTTGGAACAGAGGCCGTGATCATAGCACTCTCTGGCGGCCGGTATTCATTGTAGACATCTACACTGTTATTGGTCCTAATCTGTGACCAATTCTCTAAGTTGTAAGGCTGCCAAATGCGATCAAAGACATCTGCTCCATAGACACCTGCTCTATATCTGAAAAAAATGAATAGGAGCATATTTAGTGCTTGTTCGTTCCAGAATTTTACATGAGATTCAAAAGTAAAACCTCAAGGGTCGGTTAGAGATTGAGCCAACGTCTGCTCTCAAGAAAGTCTGCAAGTATCCTGTTGAAGTGTTATTATAGGCTTTGCTATTGAGTTGACGCAGCTCTAAACCGGATATGAATGGCGTTGAATCCCCTGTCTTGACCAGACAGACTTGTAACCTGTCAGTGGTCAAAAGATGAATCATCTCAAAAACAATTTCTTCTGTCTCGTTGACGGTTGATACCGTCGTCCATCGGTTAACCCCGAGATGGAGCTCGAACCGCCTAATGGAGTTGTTGTCATAACCTCCGTGTAGGAAAGTTGTCCTGATCAGATACCTTTCTCCTGAGTTCAAATCAAACGTATAACAGTTTCTGAAACCGATTGGAAAACTCCGGAGGTACCTTGCGTAACAAGTAAATAATTTGTTTTAAAATAACGAGCGGTCTAAGTTAAATATTATTTACGAATGTTCTAATATAAATATTACCAGTGTTTTTCCTCTGTTTTGGTCTGGTACAACGATTTTATCTTGCTCCCAACACCCGTGGATATGAAGTCCGTATCCGAAATGTAGCTAATACCTGTATCTCTGTCTTTAAACGTGGTTCCTCTTGGAGAACCACACGATAGACTGGTAAATGTAAATTCTGTGAGGGAAAAAAAAAATCATCAGAAAGATAAATTTTTGAAAACTAAACCGACTTGGGATATTTATTAGTTATAAAAGTAAATTGGTTTTTCTTTGTACCTGAGAAAACTCGTGGCAGACTAAAGAGAAGACAAATGGTAAGTAGTACCATTGCTCCTATCAGATTGTATATCTTGGTTTAGTGGGTTTAGTTATTTGGTTTAACTTAACCAATTGTATAATTGTATAGATGGAGAGTATAAATACTTGTACAGTGATAATGAAGAATAACGAGAAATGTTTTGATAAACGTCTCTAACAAACTCTCTCAAATTATCTTCTTCTACAATCGTAATATGGTATCAGAGCCATCAAAGCTCTAATCTCCATTGATTTTGATCCGATTTCTTCGTTTTTGAGCTCACAATCGTCATTTCCATTGCTTGATTTCAAGAAACAATGGTGACTGTAGCTCGCGCCACTCGGAAATCTACTCGATCGAAGTCAGGAACAAGTTCAGCTGTTCGGAAGCCGTCGCGATCCACCGATGTTGTTGATTCTCCTCCGATCTCTCCTCCAGTTAACCGATCTCAAGTTTCTGGAGCTTCGCGAGTTCTCACAACGTCGGAATCTGGAGATCCGAATCTGTCTCCGTTTTTTATGCATAGCGCCGATCATCCAGGTTTGAATATCATCTCTCATCGCTTAGATGAAACGAACTATGGTGATTGGAGTGTTGCGATGCTTATCTCTTTAGATGCTAAGAACAAAACTGGATTCATAGATGGAACTTTGCCTCGTCCCTTAGAATCGGATGTCAATTTTCGTCTGTGGTCTAGGTGTAATAGCATGGTCAAATCTTGGCTATTAAACTCTGTTTCTCCTCAGATTTATCGTAGCATTCTTCGTATGAATGATGCTTCGGATATATGGCGTGATCTTCATAGTCGATTCAATTTGACTAATCTCCCGCGCACATATAATCTTACTCAAGAGATTCAGGACTTACGCCAAGGAACTTTGTCTTTGTCTGAGTACTATACTCGTCTCAAGACTTTATGGGATCAGCTGGATAGTACAGAAGCACTTGATGATCCTTGTATTTGTGGAAAAGCAATTCGTCTGCAACAAAAGGCAGAAAGAGCTAAGATAGTGAAATTCTTAGCTGGATTGAATGAGTCTTATGCGATTATACGCAGACAGATTATTGCAAAGAAGGTCCTCCCTAGCTTAGCAGAGGTGTATCATATTCTGGATCAAGACAACAGTCAACAAGGCTTTTCAAATGTTGTTGCTCCTCCAGTTGCTTTTCAGGTTTCAGAATCTGTCATGACTACTGGCATGGATCCTACTGTTTATTATGTTCAGAATGGTCCACACAAGGGGAGGCCAATTTGCTCTTATTGCAATCGTGTTGGTCACATTGCAGAGAGGTGTTACAAGAAACATGGCTTTCCTCCGGGTTTCATTCCTAAGGGTAAGAATGGTGAAAAATTTCAGAAACCAAAACCTGTTGCTGCAAATGTTGCTCTGGTTCCTGCAGGATCTATTGATCATCCTCAAAGTTTGGAGAATATGATGGGTACGCTAAGCAAAGAACAACTTCAACAGTTCATTGCTATGTTTAGCTCACAGCTTCAGACTCAACCTCAGAATGTTTCTGCAGTGGCTAGTACTTCTCAGTCTGACAACATTGGTATTTCTTTTTCACCTTCCACCTATTGTTTTATTGGAATCTTGACTGTTGCTCAGCATACTCTTTCCTCTACAACATGGGTAATAGACTCCGGAGCCACACATCATGTTTCTCATGATAGAAATCTTTTCTTGACAATGGATACTTCTATTATGAGTTCAGTGAATTTGCCAACAGGTCCCACTGTGAAGATCAGTGGTGTTGGTACTTTGAGACTCAACAACAGCATTCTTCTCAAGAATGTGTTGTTTATACCAGAGTTTAGATTAAATCTACTCAGTATAAGCTCTCTGACTGATGATATTGGTTCAAAGGTGATTTTTGACAAAACTTCTTGTGAAATTCAGGATCCTATCAAGGCCCGGATGCTTGGGAAAGGTAGAAGAGTTGCAAATTTATATGTGCTGGATATTGAAGATCCTCCTATCTCAGTGAATGCGGTTGTGGACATCAGTATGTGGCATAGAAGACTTGGTCATGCCTCTTTACAGCGTTTGGATGTTATTTCAGAATCTTTGGGAATTACTAAGCATAAGAACAAAGGATCAGATTATTGTCATGTTTGTCATTTAGCAAAACAGAGAAAGCTCTCCTTTCCTTCTCCAAATAAAGTTTGTAATGAAATCTTTGATATGTTACACATTGACATATGGGGGCCTTTCTCAGTTGAAACAGTTGAGGGTTTTAAATATTTTTTGACAATAGTGGATGATCATTCAAGAGCAACATGGATTTATTTGCTTAGAAACAAGTCTGAAGTTCTTACAGTATTCCCTGGTTTTATTGAACAAATTGAGAATCAGTATAAGGTTAAAGTGAAAGCTGTAAGGTCTGATAATGCACCAGAACTGAGATTTGTGAGTTTGTATCAACAAAAAGGTATTGCATCGTTTCATTCTTGTCCAGAGACACCAGAACAGAACTCGGTAGTGGAGCGTAAACATCAACATATACTCAATGTTGCTAGAGCTCTCATGTTTCAATCTCAGGTACCACTTTCTCTATGGGGTGATTGTGTTCTAACAGCTGTTTTCCTCATCAATAGGACTCCTTCACAGCTTCTAATGAATAAAACTCCTTATGAGATCCTCACTGGTACCCCTCCTCAGTATGATCAGCTCAAGACATTTGGATGTTTGTGTTATAGCTCTACTTCACCAAAACAGAGGCACAAGTTTCAGCCTAGATCGAAGGCTTGTGTTTTCTTGGGATACCCTTCTGGTTATAAAGGATACAAGCTTATGGACTTGGAGAGTAATACTGTTTTCATATCCAGGAATGTTATTTTTCATGAGGAGGTGTTTCCTTTGGCTATTGATCCTAAGTCAGAGAAGTTTTTGGAGTTATTCACGCCAGTGGTTCCTGTGCCTTCAGGTATTCAACAATCTTCTTTCTCTTCTCTTCCATCACAAATTTCTGATCTACCACCACAAATTTCTTCACAGAGAGTTAGGAAACCACCTGCTCATCTGTCAGATTATTATTGCAATACTATGCAATCTAATCATAAATATCCTATTTCATCTACTCTTTCTTACTCTAAAATTTCTCCATCTCATATGTGTTATATTAATAATATCACAAAAATTCCTATTCCCACCACTTATGCTGAGGCACAGGACACCAAAGAATGGTGTGAGGCAGTTGATGCTGAGATTGGTGCTATGGAATCTACTAACACTTGGGAGATTACTACATTACCAGCAGGCAAGAAAGCAGTAGGCTGTAAATGGGTATTCACATTGAAATTTTTGGCTGATGGTAGTCTTGAAAGGTATAAAGCTCGACTGGTTGCGAAGGGCTATACACAGAAAGAAGGTTTGGATTATACTGATACATTCTCTCCTGTTGCTAAAATGACCACGATCAAGCTGTTGTTGAAAGTTTCAGCTTCCAAGAAATGGTTTTTAAAACAATTGGATGTGTCTAATGCGTTTTTGAATGGAGAATTGGAAGAGGAGATATTCATGAAGTTACCTGAAGGTTATGCAGCAAGAAAAGGGATTCAATTACCATCTAATGCTGTTTGTAGGCTGAAAAGATCCATTTATGGTCTTAAACAAGCTTCCAGACAGTGGTTCAAGAAATTTTCTGGTTCACTTTTCAGTTTGGGTTTTCAAAAGACTCATGGTGATCATACTTTATTTCTCAGGGAGTATGACGGTGATTTTGTTATTGTTCTGGTTTATGTTGATGATATTGTGATAGCTAGCACAAGTGAAGCTGCTGCAACAAAATTGACTACTGATTTGAAGCTGAGATTTAAACTGAGAGATCTTGGTGATTTGAAGTTTTTTTTGGGGCTTGAGGTTGCTAGAACGACTGCAGGGATTTCTTTGTGCCAGAGAAAATATGCTTTAGAGTTGCTGCAGTCTACTGGTATGCTTGGATGTAAGCCGGTTTCAGTTCCAATGATTCCTAATGTGAAACTGATGAAGAATGATGGTGATTTGCTAGAAGATAAAGAGCAATATCGCAGAATTGTTGGTAAATTGATGTATCTGACCATAACCAGGCCAGATATCACTTTTGCTGTTAATAAGTTGTGTCAATTCTCTTCTGCTCCACGTACTACTCATCTTGCTGGAGCTTACAGAGTTTTGCAATATATCAAAGGAACAGTGGGTCAAGGTTTGTTTTATTCTGCTTCCCCTGATCTTACATTAAAAGGGTTTGCAGACTCAGACTGGGCTTCCTGTTCTGATAGCCGCCGTTCTACTACTGGTTTTTCAATGTTTGTGGGGGATTCTTTGATATCTTGGCGGTCAAAGAAACAACACACCGTTTCTAGGTCCTCTGCAGAAGCTGAGTACAGAGCTTTAGCTTTGGCAACTTGTGAGATAGTCTGGTTATACACTCTTCTTACTTCTTTAAAGACTTCTCCACCAGTGCCTATCCTATTTTCAGATAGTACTGCAGCCATATACATTGCAACAAATCCAGTTTTCCATGAAAGGACTAAACATATTGAGATAGATTGTCATACAGTTCGGGAACGATTGGATGATGGCCAACTGAAGCTACTTCATGTGAGAACTGAAGATCAAGTAGCCGACATTTTGACTAAACCATTGTTTCCTCATCAATTTGAGCATCTTAAATCCAAGATGAACATTCTCAACATTTTTGAATGCTCATCTTGAGGGGGCATATCAGATTGTATATCTTGGTTTAGTGGGTTTAGTTATTTGGTTTAACTTAACCAATTGTATAATTGTATAGATGGAGAGTATAAATACTTGTACAGTGATAATGAAGAATAACGAGAAATGTTTTGATAAACGTCTCTAACAAACTCTCTCAAATTATCTTCTTCTACAATCGTAATAGCTCCCATAATTCTTTTTCACAAAAAAAAAAAAATTATATATATGAGTAGAAGAAAGTGACGATTCTCTTTCCAAGAAAAAAGAAGAAAGTGACGATTCAGATGAAGAGAGGTGAGATTTATATTTGGTTGCAGAGCCTTTTTGTTTTTTGTTTCATTTTTTTTTGTTATTTCTTAGCAATTTAATGCAGAGCGTATTCGTAAAGCTAATGAATATAAGAAGCTAGGCTCTCTATATAACAAATCATAAAGATTAGAAGAAAAAGAAGAAATATAGGGTTAGATATAGAACGTTTCAAAGTCACGAAAAAAAAAAGACCATGTGGGTTGGGTTGGTGTTTAATAAATTGAATAACGAGCTTAACTAAACATTAAGCTCCGGATCAACAGGTTTTATCGCAACACTCACCCAATTTCCAAAGACTATTCTCGAAAATAGCACTAAAATAACTAAAAATACTCGAAAATATCCGAAAATACCAAGTAATATTTGAAACACCCAAAAATATCCGAAAAAAAATATCTGAATAGATCCTAAACTTCAGAATCGAAAGAATGAGAACTGAACCAGAACCAAACCGAAACAGTTTCGATTCCTATATGGATCATAAACTATAGAACTGAAAAAAAACAGAACCAAAGCTGAACCGATATGAATATTCGAACGTCTAAGCCTAACTGTGAGTGAACGTGCTTATTGATGAGTAATTCTAGGGGTGGGCATTCGGGTATGCGGGTCGGGTTCGGGTAAAACCCGATCGGGTACGGGTCTTTCGGGTAGAGGAGTTTAGGATCCAATAGGGTAAATCTAAAATATCGGTTCGGTTTCGGTTCGGGTCTAATCGGGTTCGGGTCGGTTCGGGTTTAGATTTTTAGAACCGCTAAATACCCGAAAAAATCGGGCACCCATCGGGTTCGGGTATTTTATACCCAAATACCCAAAATTTTACCAAATACCCGAATTTTACCCAAAATTTTACTCTAATATCCGAATTTTATCCGCAATTTTACTCAAATATCCAAGTTTCACCCAAAAATTTATCCGAATAACCGGAATTTTGTCCAAATATTTAAAAAATTTACAAGCATCTCGCGTATAAATATATTTAGTCTTAAATATATAAATATAAGTGCATTTAATTTTTGGTAATTACTCTCGGATATTTGGATATAAATGTATTTAGCTCAAATATTACATATATATAAAGTTTTTATATGTATAAGTATAAGTAATTTTGGGTAATCGGGTACCCGTTCGGGTATCGGGTTCGGATCGGGTTTTACCCTATACCCACGGGTACGACAATACAAGACCCAATAGGGTAAATAGCTAATACCCGTACCCGCCCCGAACCGGTTTTTTCGGGTCGGTTTCGGTTCGGGTACTCGGGTACGGTTTTTTTGCCCAGGCCTAAGTAATTCTATATAATCGTGGGTCTACCGTAAAACATGATACATGTTTTTGCTCTTAATTTACGTACGATTACTCTACTTTCAAATCTAGTTTTGGATGGACCTTATTATGATCTGGCTACCGAAATTTTAATTACGAGATTTCAACATGCATTTATTCGATCAACTTTTGCCTTTCTTGGAGTATAAGAAAAAAAATAGAGACAGTATTTCCTTCAATGCTAGAGTTTTCACATAGGTGATTAAAAGACAAATTTGATTAGAAAAGTCTTCAGAATTTAATTACTTGTCTTTTTTTTTTTTGCTCATACACATGGATTATTTAATTGGACAAAATGTCAAAACAAAATCATCAGCTATGCGTTTTCGCTGAAAAAAGCATGAAATATTCATTTGGTGAAATATATATATATATATATATATATATATATATATATATATATATATATATATATCCAATTTTTATTGACTTTTCTATTAAATTGTAAACTTTGGTTGGTTAATTTTGCTAAATAAGGCATGCCATTAACAAACACACTCTGGAGCCTTTTAAATTTTTTAAGGAAAAAGTAATCCTTTGTCGATTAGTCTGGTCCTGGTGATTTTTTACCAAACAATAATGAAAGGCGCCGGGGAGTGCTTGTTACCGGAACTTGACGGTGGACGAGAAACGCTAGAAACATGTTTGGGTCCTAAATCCATGTCCAGGATCGATCCAAAATTAGCAGAGAGTTGGTATGGTGGTTTGTCAGAGATGAGATGAGTCCGATACCGGAGCTCGTGATGTGCGACACGCCGGATCAATGCCGAATTAAAGAGGGAAGCGTTGGTGAGATCTTTTGACGGAAGAAAGAATTTACGTATGTCGATAACTAGAAGATTAACATAATCGGAGATATAGTGGTATATTAGGTGTATTTCCATAGGAGTCCTTATTTAATACTTTGTGATCCCAAAGCTTTTTCAGTTACGTTTCATCACGAACAAAGTGATAATCGAACTCAATATGCATTTTTCTCTCATGGAAACAAAATTTGCAGCAATGTGCAAAGCCGCAGGGACAGACCCACGTTGGTCTTGGGTGGAGCATGTGCCCCATACCCAATCCTATATATATAATATAAGCTAGAACCTATATGTAACTAAAAATGCAGCTCTTTTAGTTGTTTTACACCAATATGTGCCCCACATCAACCAAAATTCAAGCCCTTCTATTGTTCTTTTATTGATTTTTTTTTTTTTTTTACTTTATATCAATTTAATTGTAACTAATGTAATCAAAATTTTAATAACTATAATATAAGTTAGCTAATTAAATTATATTTAGTATTTATATATATAGTGTCCCATATAATATCCACTAATTGGCCCATGTAGTAAACACCAAATTTGAAAGAAGTACTCGATCCCACGTTAACACTCGTGTGACAGCACTCATCGATCTATATTCTGCAAAGGGACATTCATATTTTGAAGGGTTTTGTGCAAAAAAACCCTCGAAGTAGCCAATTTTTGCAAGAAAACCCTCCATCTCAAATAAATGCAAGTCAATACCACCATCTCAAAAGTCACCCGCAATATAGCCCTCGCGTGTATCGATGACGTGGCAGCCGTTAACTCTGTTCCAAAACGTCACGACGAGTGAACTTTTGTGCAAAAAAACCCTCAAAGTAGTCAAGTTTTGCAAGGAAACCCTCAAAGTAGCCAAATTTTGTGCAAAAAAACACTCAAAGTAGCCAAGGTTTGTTTTGAAAAAACGATTGTTGGAGAATTCGATTGTACAGGGAAGCAAATGAAACAATATGGTAATAATCGATTTTGATATCTTCATAAATTTCTGATCATTGGCATGATCAAAGTAAGACATGGTGGAGCCATTTATAGGAGAAGGAAAAATCTAGAGTTGAACAAAAGAATTCTGTAAAATTTACATAAGTTTTCTGTAAAACCAGAAAATCTTCTGTAAAAGCCCAAATTCGTCGCAAAAGAGACAAAATATTTTGTAAGGCTCAGAGCCTCGAAAAATGTGCAAGCCACGAAATCAACTTCTGTAAGACTCAGAGCTTCGAAAAACATGCAAGCCACGAAATCAACTTCTGTAAGACTCAGAGCCTCGAAAAACGTGCCCGGCACGGAATCACCTTCTGTAAGGCTCAGAGCCTCGACAAAACATATATTACTTCTCTAAAAATCATAGCTAACTCTTGCGTATATTTCGTATTCTCGTTCACTCGAATTCCATCTTTGTAATCACGGAAGCACGATTATCGTTAATAAGAGAAATATCTCCGTTCGCTCCCAAAAACTCGTACTTATTTATTATTGCAACTTCGGTACGAACAATAGGGTGGATAGATTTACATACAACAATTTTTATTTTTGGGTATTATAGGTAAACCCGAACCCGTACCCGAATTTTAAAATACCCGAAAGGGTTTTTTTGCAAAAATTGGTTTAATGAAGGTTTTTTTTGCAATTTGGCTACTTCGAGGGTTTTTTTTGCACAAAACCCACTGACGGAGTTAACGGCTGCCACGTCATCGATACACGCGAGGGCTATATTGCGGGTGACTTTTGAGATGGCGGTATTGACTTGCATTTATTTGAGATGGAGGGTTTTCTTGCAAAAATTGGTTACTTCGAGGGTTTTTTTGCACAAAACACCAAGTCATGTGAGACAAAAATAATAATCACCCGTATCTAAGTCATATAGTCGATCGCCACCCATTTTTACCATAAGGATAATCTAAAAACATTTAAACAAACTCTAAAGCGGACCGTTGAGCCTTTTTATCTCATTTTATATTCACTGATATTTCTTTTGTAATTTTATCTTGTCTCTTGATTGAATCAATCACCTATTAAAGAACTTTGTTTAACTTAATGGTGTAGGTAACAGAAATAATTGTGTGATTCTAAGATTTCCATATATGAGAAAGCAAAAAGATAGAATCAATGGAGAACCATGTCTTTAGGACAAAACTTTAAGGAGGTTACGATGTACTAAAAAAAGACACATGTAACTTTCGTTATAAATACTTGTAAACTTTGTTCATTTTTAAAAAACTTTTAAAAGAACATCAATTCATTCATTTTTGAGATGAGTAAACCCAATCAACTCTCGGTCACCATTCTAAGTATCTTCGGCATCCTCGCTATAGGTGTGTATTTACATTTACAACCGTTATTATCATTCAAAGATAATATATTTGTTAAAAATATGTTATTTCTTTTTAAAAATATAAATTTGATTTTTCTCCAATCTTATGTCAAATATTAGTTTTTTCCCTAAACCACCGAACTCAATAAAATTGTTACCATATATATATCTTTCACATTCAACTTATAGTGCATTTTTTTTTGCATCCCCTAATTATGGAATGGTTATATATGGTGATATAGTACATAGTTTAATGCACGTTTAATACCTACTAAACATGAGATAGTAAAAGTAGATTTTAAACTAATAGTATAAGGCCTGGGTAAATAAGCAGGTATAAGAAATAAATGTAAACGACATTTACTAATAATATTCGAATTCTAAATGGTAACACACATACTTCGTTTAGATTTGATCTGATGATTTATTTAGACACTGATAAACCTCATACATTCCACTTTGGAATAGAGTTTAACTATTTATTCCACCATGCTAAAGCAGATTTTAATTTTTACGCACTCGATACTGATGTTATAACAGCCAAAAAACATTTATCAAAAATATGATATGCATCATATCAAATCTTTATTTTAATAGTACTAAAAATAATTAAGAAATTAATAAAACATAGTTAGTAAAAAATGAAAACATCCACAAAAGAATTTGGAAAACCAAAATTTATTTTTTAATATATTTGCCTATATGTTGTAATCTCATAAATAATCATTTTACCTCATGTCAGACTAATTTTTTAAATGAGTTCAAATTTAATAAATAAAACATAAATAAATATATAACATTCTTATCAATTGATCCAAAATTCATTCCTCTACGCTCATTACTTAATAAAGTTATTTTGTGTTTTTCACTTAGAGGCATTGCATATGTTGAATTTATAAAATAAAACTATACTAATACTCTTATCAAGTAATTAAAATTCATTCCTAAAAACTCATAAAAGATTTCAAGTTTATTTTTGTCTTCACTTACGTATAAAAAACACTACATTCTAACGAGAGATAGAATGTTTATCTAACTAAATTAATATTAAATAACTTATATATATGGTTCTTTTTAATTTCAACATTCATTTCTATAAAATAATTACTATGCTAAATGAATTATTAAAATTTGATGCATGTAAGAATCTAATTGACAAATGACACATGTAAATTAGCATGCATATACAATTTTTATTGTTAGTTTTTTTTTGTCTTTTTTTTGGTGATAGAAAAAAAAATTGCATAAACACATGTAAAAAAGTATATGTAGATATGTATTTAAGAAAGAAAAAAATAATTTCCTATTTCCTTAAAGAAAATAAAGTTTTTTTTGGAAACGTGTCAGCATCTAATCGATAAATTTAACACATGCCGCGATCGTGTAAATGACTAACTTTGAAAAATCAACTTTATATAGTAAGATATATTTATTTCTTTTCAAGATTTGAAGGAAAATAACCCTTCAAGTATTGGCCATCAATTTTAATTAAAATTTTCAAGTATCAATCGATGCATTCCAAACCCCTCAACTAATAAGTGATAATAATGTTTCATGTACAGATCCTCTCAAAAAAAAACTATTATCGATCTTATCATCTAAACATTACCATTAAATACATACTCTACATTTTGGTTTGTTATTAAGTGACGAGTATATTTTTCCAAACATAGGAGAACGCGGTGTTAGATTAAAAACAACATGAGAAACATAATAAAGTTGATTGGAAATCTATGTACCACTTTCTAGCATGTATAAAACGATGGAAATTAATAAATCTATGTACAATTTTAGATGTTAAACGCATTTGAGATAGAAGAGAAGCATGAACATTATCTACGCTTTAGTGTTTTTTATAAAGATTAATGTTTTTAAACTAATCATAGTTATAAAAACTATACATATGATTATGGTTATTATAGATATAATGATAAATTATTTGCAAACAATCAACTACGTATATACGTACGTGTGTGTATGTGTGTGTTTTAATAATATAAGAAAATAACTTCGTTAAACATTCAATATAATATATATGTTTATTGTTTATAATGAAACTGATATTTTATGTCTTTCATATTTAACTCTCTTTTTTTTTTAACTATAATAGGGGTGATGGTAAATGAAACAGTAGGGCAGAGATTGTGTGCTATAGTTATACCAAATGAAAGTGTTGACGGTAAATCATTTGTATCAACATGTGTGATTGAATTGTGTGTCCCTCTATGTAAGACGAAATACGCCAATGGGACTGGTACTTGCAGAATACAAGTCCCGCAAAGGAAACCACGCAAAAAAGAAGAGAGAATGTCACCCAGGGCACCGAAAGAAGAATGTCTGTGCGTTTATATGACTTACAATAATTGCCCCACGGAAAAACGACAAAATCTGTAATTGATTCGTTTAAAAATGCTCATAAAAACATGAGAAATATCAGACCATCAGATCACCAAGTTAAATTTACAAACTGCAAGTCAATCACATTTTTGGTTTTATTTTATAAGAACTCGTAATAATAATATTTAATAATACTAAATAGTCACTTTGGGCTAGTTTCGTGAGTGTGTGTGATCATCACATGAGTCTTGATTCGCATATTATAATCTTTTAAATAAAAAATAAATTAGGTTTTATTGTTTATAATAAATATTTTGTGCATTTCCTATTAATAACTTTTTTGAATATTTATTTTATACAAGGAGCTTATTATTTAAGTATATTAAATATTAAAAGTTTAAATTCGCATACATGTATACTTTTGTTCTGAATAATTATAAAGGAACTTATTATTTGAGTATAAAATATTAGAAGTTTAAATTCGCATAATGTATACTTTTTAGATATGTTTTTAGAGAGATCACACGCATCTAAAACACACTAAGGTCTCTTTATTAGCTAAACATCTATCAAATTAATGTACAATTATTACCTTAGTGTAACCAATCCTTTTTGTGCTCTCAAGGAGACGTTTAGGAATTGAAACATGTAGCTCATTGCTTGATAGATTTTGTTGATCAAAAAAACATTCTTCTGTCTCGTTGGCGGTTAACACTGTGGTCACCCCGAGGTGGAGCACGAACCGCGGCAACCCAGGAACCTAAGGCCCATTTACATGATTTAAACGAACATCAAGGTGCTTTGCACATTTCGTCAGGATAACTTCTCCTTATGTCACGCCACAGTCAATATATACTCAAAGGCTAATGGTGTAATCCACCATTCTCAATGTTAGTGTCTACCATGAGACGAACGATGCTGATCTTCCGTTATTGTTTAATGTAGTTTCCTTTGAACAACATGTGCTAGAAATCCTATATCGTTAAGCGTTAGTAGCTTTGCCCCCAATCATTAGATTCTTCATCATCGTAGTAGATCATGATTTTATGAGCTTATCTGCGTTCTCATATTAACTCATGTCTTCATTAAATTATCTCTTGCGTCGTTCATACTCACATAGTTAAAACTGCCCCTCCTTCTAGCGCCAATTGTTTGGGCAATTTTTAACCGGTTCGTGTATACACAGTTCTACGGATTAACGCATGAAGATATATTTTATTCATAAGTAATCTTTTGTTTACATAAAAGTAAAACAATAGGAGATCATAATCCTCTAACAAGTATCAAAGGAGAATCTAGGTGTTGATCCGTTGGAATTGATACTTTTAGGTAGAATCGATGGAGTCCTCGTGTCGTTAGGTGATAGATCATCGCTGATTTATTTAGGCCATGGCCATGGATTCTTCACCGTGTACTATTTTAGAAGCTTTTAGGATTTTCTTCCTTTTTTTTCTCCCCTCTCTCTTCCTTAAAAGCTCTCTATTTATATAAGCCACAAATCACTTTCTACTTTTTCTCAAATTATCTATACCATATATTAATTTATAATATCAAGAAGATAAGAATTGACGTAGAGAATACCGTAATATAGGCTAATTAGATATTGATTTTATTTTACCCAACAACTATATTATTAATGTTTACTAAATTAAAAAGTGAATACCTAAAAATGAAAACAAAATATTAATTAGTGTTTAAGAAGTCAACATAGATTAAAAAAACTAAGGTGATTTGAAATAAAACAAAAAACTATCTTAAACATCACAAATAAAATTAAAATAATCTTATCGAATAATAAAACTGTGTAACAATAATATTTGAGAATGTTATTTGGAATTTAGAATATTAATGGTAGATTAAAGTGTTTTCATTAGAAATAAAAGGGATTTTGTTTTTTTTTAAATAAATGTATCTTAAAATTAGAATAATTTTTATGAGTTCGTAAGTGTCACATTTTAGGAAAATCAATATTAAAAATACTATCTAGAATCATAATATACGTTAAATTATATATGTAGAAATAGATTTTTGTATTTTTCAAATGGTCAAGATAAAGTACAAAATTTTATGTTGAAATCCTATGTTTGTGAATATGAATTAGTTCATATATGAGATTTTTTTTTCTATAAAGCAATTTTAGATGCACCAAAACATGGTAAAAAAAAAACCTTATGACAAACATCTCCTCAGATTTCTGTTTCTAATGTTCACTTTAATAAAAAGATCATGAAACTTATAGAAAATATTTGAGTATCGAATGATATGAAGGAGAAAATAGAAACGATCTAAGGAGAAAACAGAGTAGATGTCGGGAGACGACGAGTGAATCATAGAAGATAACGAGAAAAATTGTAGTGAAAAATGTGAGAAACTTTTAACTACTTTGGAAAGATAATGCACATGGGTAAAGTAAAATCTTTTAAAATTCAATTGATTATATTTATACTCAAAGAATAAAAGTTTAAAATTAAATCCCGTGCAACGCGCGGGTACACCTTCTATTAGTAATAATAATAATAAAATAGTGTAGGTAACAAAAATAATGGTGTGATTCTAAGATTTCCACATACGAAAAAGCTAAAATATAGAATCAATGGAGAACCATGTCTTTATGACCAAACTTTAAGGAGGTGTAAGACTTACGATGTACTAAAAATAGACACATGTAACATTCGTTATAAATACTTGTAAACTTTGTTCATTTTTTAAAAACTTTTAAAAGAGCATCAATTCATTCAAATTTGAGATGAGTAAACCCAATCAACTTCGGTCACTATTCTAAGTATCTTCAGCATCCTCGCTATAGGTGTGTATTTACATTTACAACTGTTATTATCATTCAAATATAATATATTTGTTAAAAATATGTTATTTTTTTTAAGAATATAAATTCAAGTATTCTCCAATCTTATGTCAAATATTAGTTTTTTCCCTAATCCACCGAACTCAATAAAATTGTTACCAAAAATTTCTTTCACATTCAACTTATAGTGCATTTTGTTTGCATCCCCTAATTATGGAATGGTTATATATGGTGATATAGTACATAGTTTAATGCACGTTTAATACCTACTAAACATGAGATAAAGTAGATTTTAAACTAATAGTATTATTAAGGCCTAGGTAAATAAGCAGGTATAAGAAATAAATGTAAACATTTACTAATAATATTCAAATTCTAAATGGTAACACACATACTTCTTTTAGATTTGGTCTGATAATTCATTTAGAAACTAATTTTAAACCTCGCACATTCCACTTTGGAATACAGTTTAACTATTTATTCCACCATGCTAAAGCGGATTTTAATTTTTACGCACTCGATCCTGATGTGATAAAAGCCAAAGAAACATTTATCAAAAATAAGATATGCATCATATCAAATCTTGATTTTAATACTATTAAAATAATAAAGAAATCAATAAAACATAGTTAGTAAAAAATAGAAACATCCACCAAAGAATTTAGAAAACCAAAATTGTTTTTTGAATATATTTTTTCTATATGTTGTTATCTCATAAATATTCATTTTACCGATCATGTCAAACTAATTTTTTAATGAGTTCAAATTTAAGAAATAAAACATAAATAAATATATAACATTCTCATCAATTAATCAAAAATTCATTCCTCTAATCTCATTACTTAATAAAGTTTTTATTTTGTGTTTTTCAGTTACATGCAATGCATACGTTAATAAAATAAAACTATACTAATACTCTTATCAAGTAATTAAAATTCATTCCTAAAAACTCATAAAAATTTTCAAGTTTCTTTTTGTCTTCACTTACATTATAACGATAAATAAAATGTTTATCTAACTAAATTAATATTAAATAACTTATATATGTGGTTCTTTTGAATTTCAACATTCAATTCTATAAGTTAATAACTATGCTAAATGAATTATAAAAATTTGATGCATGTAAAAATATAATTGATAAATGACCCACGTAAATTAGCATGCATATACAATCTTTATTGTTAATCTTTTTTTGTCTTTTGTTTTTTAGTGATAGAAACAAAAATTACATAAACACATGTAAAAAAAGTATACGTAGATATGTATTTAAGAAAAAAATAATATTTTCCTATTTCCTTAAAGAAAATAAAGTTTTTTTTTAACGTGTCGTCAGCATCTAATCGATAAATTTAACAACTGTCGCGATCATGTAAATTACTAACTTTGAAAAGTCAACTTTATATAGTAAGATATATTTATTTCTTTTCAAGATTTGAAGGAAAATAACCCTTCAAATATTGGTCGATCAATTTTAAAAATTTCAAGTATCAATCGATGCATTCCAAACCCCTCAACTAAATTAGTAATAATAATTTTTCTTGTACAGATCCGCTCAAGAAAAACTATTATCGATATTATCATCCAAACAATACCATTAAATACATACTCTACATTTTGGTTTGTTATTAAGTAACGAGTATATTTTTTTAAACATAGGAGAACGCGGTGTTAGATTAATTAAAAATAACATCAGAAACATGATAAAGTTTATTGGAAATCTGAAACGATCAATCAATATTACTCCCTACGTATTAGAAAGATTGATTTTCTAAGGTTTTTTTCTTGTATCAAAAAGATTGATTTTCTGTAAACTTTAACAATTAATGTTAATAAATTGTGAATCAGAATCATTAATTGAGAATTTCAAACTTTAATGAATTACTATTTGTTGATAGCTATGAGAAAAAGTTTGATATGAATAATAGTGCATTTATAACTAAACATTAAATGTTTTCCTTAATTCGTGTGAAAAGTCTACAAAATCAATCTTTTAGATACGGAGGGAGTATCTATGAACCACTTTCTAGCATGCATAAAAAGATGGAAAGTAATAAATCTACTATACATTTTTGCAACACTTTTTGGGGTCCCTAATCGGGTCGGGTATTTTTTAAATTTTGACCCGGAAATCTGTTGATTTTGACCCGGAAATAAGTCTCTCGGATCTTACCTTAATTGTGATATTGTGATATGTGATATTGACCCGATTACCTTAGTTTCCTATTTTAGTGCTATAGATTATATTGTATTTAACATTTGTTTCCTAAAAAAATTGAACAATAATTATTTCTATCAATTTTCGGAGATCTTGGGAACTAAATTAAAGCATATTCTTGAAACATGCTATATTCAATTCTTATATATCTCAAAAATATATTGGTAAATAATATCTAGCAAATTTGGCTTGATCACAAAGCTATTCTTGAAATTTTATCCAACCTAACGCCAAGAGACTATGACCTCTATAAATAGGTTCTCGCTAGCAAAGAATTATCACATCATCAGAGATTTTACCTTTTAATATGATAAGAGAAGTCTGCTTCATTTTCCAATCTCAAAGATTTGAGACCTGACAAAGCCGCAAAGCCTCCAAGTTTAAGATCCTCCATCCATGGACAATATACTGTAAAAAAGGGAGACTTTATATGATACTGATGAGAAAGTAAGTTTCCATGAACATATATTTGATTTTAAACCTTTTTCTTATTAACTAATTTGATGTGTTGTATGTCTTAGAGAGCAAAGATAATTCTTCCAGTTGCAAGCTTCATCCATTGGTATATTTTACTCTTTCACATATTCTAAATGTTTTTAATAAGTAAAAATATCAACTTGATGACTACTATAGTGCAGGTAGTAAACTCTTTTCTTCTCACGTTTAAAGATTTCCAGTGGATGAAAATCCTAACATTCAAGAGGTAAAAGAATTCAAAACAATGTAAGCATCTGGACTAGAGGTTTGACTTATTCATATCTCCAATTAAACTAATTCAATTTGTCTCTTAATTTTAAATTGTAGGCTCCAAAGCAAAAGACTAACAAGAAGATTAATTGAAATTTTGAAATCAAAGGCTGAAGAAGCTTGATTTTAATATACAAGATGATGTGGCTGTTGGATCTAAATTTATATATTACTATATCTTTGCAATTGGATGACATAAGTTTTTTTTTTTCTAATGGCTATTATGCATCTTATAAAGGATATTTTTGGGTAACTCTCATTCTCATTTCTAATGCTTATTAATATGAAGGAAAGGTTTATATATAACATGTTATTTTCGGTTATCTCAACATGTTCTTCGTATTTCTACAAGGCAATACATGTTCTTCGTAGTTTCTACATTGAAAAAAGAAACTATAGTATGACAAACGTATAACTATTGATAAAACAAATAAATCTGGACAACTCTAAGGTAATTACCATAATATATGAATCTTAGAATATAAATGCTAACTAAACGATTGGAAATTTATATGGACAATATTCTATTTAAAACGATTGGAAATTAACAATAAAAAGATCAAACGATTGGAAATTTATATGAATCTCTTATATTGTTCAATTGGAAATGTTAAATTGGACAATATACCACGGATAAAATCTTAGAATTAACAAATCAAAATACAAGTATACAATCTTAAACACTAAACAAAACAAAATACAACTTAAAATTTTTATTTTTTAGTTACAACGCATGTGATTCTCGGTATACAACAAATAATATTATACACAACAAATTCATCAGTTTACAAAATGATTAAAAAAAACAAATAATTAACCCGCGGTGTACCGCGGGTCATATCCTAGTCTATGTACAATTTTAGATGTTAAACGCATTTGAGATAAAAGAGAAGCATGAACATTATCTACGCTTTATTGTTTTTTATAAATATTAATGTTTTTATACTAATCATGATCATAGTTATAAAAACTATTATATGATTATGGTTATTATAGATATAATGATAAATTATTTGCAAATAATCAACTACGTATATGTACGTGTATGTATGTGTGTTTTATTAATATAAGAAAATAACTACGTTAAACATTAAATATAATATATTTGTATATATATGTTTATTGTTTATAATGAAACTGATATTTTATGTCTTTCATATTTAACTCTCTTTTTTTAACTATAATAGGGGTGATGGTAAATGAAACAGTAGGGCAGAAATTGTGTGCTATAGTTATACCAAATCGAAGTGTTGACGGTAAATCATCTGCAGCAACATGTCTGATTGAATTGTGTGTCCCTCTATGTAAGACGAAATACGCTAATGGGACTGGTACTTGCAGAATACAAGTCCCGCAAAGGGAAGAGGTAATACCACCCAGGGCACCGGAAGAAGAATGTCTGTGCGTTTATAATACTAACAGTATATGCCCCACGAAAAAAGAACAAAATCTGTAAATGCTCATAAAAACATGAGAAATATCAGACCATCAGATCACCAAGTTAAATATACGAACTGCAAGTCAATCACATTTTTGGTTTTATTTTATAAGAACTCGTAATAATTATATTTAATAATACTAAATAGTCACTTTGGGCTAGTTTTGTGAGTGTGTGATCATCATATGAGTCTTGATTCGCATATTGTGATCTTTTAAATAAAAAATACATAAGGTTTTATTTTTTATAATAAATATTTTGTGCATTTCCTATTAATAATTTTTTTTGAATATTTATTTTAAACAAGGAGCTTATGATTTAAGTATATTAAATATTAGAAGTTTAAATTCGCTTAAATGTATACTTTTTTGAATATTTATATTAAAAAAAGGAACTTATTATTTTAGTATAAAATATTAGAAGTTTAAATTCGCATAATGTATACTTTTTAAAATATGTTTTGTAGAGAGATCACACTCATCTAAAACACATTAAGGTCTCTTTATTAGCTAAACATCTATCAAATTAATGTACAATTATTACCTTAGTGTAACCAATCCTTTTTGTGCTCTCAAGGAGACGTTTAGGGATTAAAACATGTAGATCATTGCTTGATAGATTTTGTTGATAAAAATAAACATTCTTCTGTCTCGTTGGCGGTTGACACTGTGGTCCATGGGTTAACCCCGAGGTGGAGCACGAACCGCCTAGAGGACTTGTTGTCATAACCTCCGTGTTGGAAAGTTGTGATGATCAGATACGTTTCTCCTGAGGTCAAATTAAAAGTATAACAGTTTCTGAATCCTCCCGGAAAGCTCTGGAGATACCTTGCATAACAAGTATTCTTTGAGAATGTTATGATCTACCAACACTAAATTGCATTCAGATTATATAATAAATTAAAATTTTAAATAACAAAGAACCGGAACAGAATACAATTAAGACTGACTCTGTTCATCACAAACAGAACAAAGGAAACGTGTGAACGAAGAAACTTCTAGCTTCAAGCAAATTATACATAAGATTTGATTCATCTAGCTCCTGGATTAAGCTCTGTTGTGAAATTCATGGAAAGCTCAATTGAAGAATCATTAGTTGAATCCGTCATACGGCTTCCCATGTTTCTTGCCATCTCCATGTTCAGACATTCTTTCATATCCATTACGACTTGAGTCATCGTCGGTCTCCGTGAAGAAGACGGATTCAGACAAATCATTGCGGTCTCAACAACTTTCCATATCGTGTTTGGATCAAAGTCTCCTTGAAGCTTAGGATCCACAATGTTGTTAATGTCTCCTCTTGATAGCATCAAACCTACCCATTCACCTATATGTGATCTTTCCCTTTTCATGTCTATCACGGGTTGGTTTGTTACTAGCTCTAGTAGAACAACACCAAAGCTGAACACATCGCTTTTCTCGGTTAACCAATTAGTTCTGTAGTATCTGGAAAATAAAAACAAGAGGAAAAGGAAAAGCCACAATGTTTAGAGTTAACATGAAAAAAAAAATCAATACTTGTTGTAAAGAGAAGGGATTAAGGTTTACTCGGGATCAAGATATCCGGGAGTTCCAGCGACTACGGTTGAGACATGAGTTTCAGTTCCAAGTGGGAAAGACCGTGAAAGCCCGAAATCCGCAAGCTTAGCTTGGAATTTCTCGTTTAATAGGATGTTAGTTGTCTTAATGTCGCGGTGAACTATTTGGGGTTTGCATCCATTGTGCAAATATTCCAATCCTTGCGCTGATTCCGCTGCTATACGAAGCCTTCCTTCCCAAGTTAGTATCGACGGTCCACCCTTACCTGAAATCAAATTTTGAAACAGTATATCAGAATCATAAAAGTAAAAACCAAAATGTTAAGACATTTTGTATAAAAACCATACCTGATAAGTGCTCTTTCAAGTCGCCATTCGCCATGAACTCATAGATTAGAGACATTTTATCGCCTTCTTCGCAATATCCAACAAGACATGTGAGATCTTTGTGATGAACTCTAAGAAGCAACTCAACCTAAAAAGTAAACAAAACAAAAAAAAGATCCAAGACGCAATCAAAACACCATTTTTTATTATAGTTAAGAGAAACATTTGGTTCAATAGCTCAATCTGTTATTACCTCGGCTTTAAACTGTTTGTAACCAAGTGCAGTGGACTCAGTGAGCATCTTTACCGCAACTGGTTCATTATTCAAGACGCCGTAATAAACTACACCAAAACCTCCCCTACCAAGAACCCTCTCAAAGTTGTTTGTGATCTTAACAACATCAACGTAAGTCAATTTGCGGTTTTTCGCTATAACAGGTGGTTCAAAACCGTGGTGAGACCTCAAATGTAACGGTGTTGTACCGGTTCCTGAATTAGGATTCAAACCAAGCTTGGATCTCTTCTTCCTCTTGAGGATAAGGAAAGTAACGATTCCAGCTCCAATGAGGAAGACTGAAACAAGTGATGCTGCAACAGGTGCAATAACAGTGTTTTTCTTCTTCTTTTTCGTGGTAGCACATGATGCAGATGAACAGAGCCCGGCATTTCCTTCGATACTAGAGTTTTCACGTAGATTGAAATAAAAATTTTGATTAGAAAACTCTTAAGGATTGTTTTTTTTTTCTCATAAGCACGGATTGTTACCTTAACGTAATCGATCCTCTTCGTTCTTTATCAAGGAGAGTTGCAGGGATTGAGCCATTTAGCTCATTTCCTGATAGATTTCTACACAAAACAGAGTGAATAGAGGTTAACAAATGTTAGCCTTTTGGTGTTATGAGAATGCGTTTGAGCTTACATGAGTTTTAAGGTTTCCATGTTTGCTAGAAACTCTGGGACTGAACCAGTTAAAGAATTGTTAGACAAATCACTGCAAGAAAATCAAAACCCATCAAAACATAAGACTTAAAGCAAAACTTAAGTGCATGTTAACTACTTACAGAACTTCTAAACTGGTAAGGTCTGATATTAATTCTAATATCTCTCCGGTCAAGCCAGTTGCAGACAGATTCCTGTTTCCAAAGATAAAAAAAATTTAAAACCTTTTGTGAAAACCATATGGTGAAGAAATCAAGCTCTGCTCTAAAAGCAGAACAAACTCTATACTTACAAGGAAATGATCTTTGGGGTCTCATTCTCAATGTAAGTGCAATTAACACCAGACCACTTGTAATCCAGCGGCACGCAAGGATCTCCTTCCCAGTCAATCTTGTTCACGCCGTAAGCCGACTTGATTTTCATCATTGCATCAACTGATAACATTTTTCCTAAGTAAAAGTTTGGTTCTTAATCAACAATAAAGCAGTTAGTTTTACCAACCTTCTTTTCCATCAGTTTCTTGTTGCGGTAACAAGTTAACCGAATAAATCTCCATAGCGTTGAGCAGAGGAGGTAAAGTCGAATTTCCGGTTCTTTGAAGCGAAAATATGTACTTTCCATTTGCATCGGCGACAACTTCTGTAGGTGTAAATACGGAAGAAGTGGTGAAATTAGGTGGTCTAAAGGGTCCATAGATATGCTTGTCATTGTATATGATATTAAACTCTCTTGTATCATTGGATTTGAGCTCTTGAATCTCCGCAAAATGCATAAAAACGTAGAATTGCACAGTACGCTCCACCCCGACTAGCGAAATGTTCATAGGTGCGTCCGGGTCTATTGGAACAGAGGCTGTGACCATAGCAATCTCTGGTGGTTGATAGTCATTGTTTACATTCACTGTCTGATTGGTACTAATCTGTGACCAGTTCCCGAAATTATACGGAGTCCAGACACGATCAAACACATCGATTCCGTACCTAAAACAAAGAAAAACAGAGTATATTTAGGAGCTTTTTCAGACTAAGTTTTAACATGAGATTTTTGAAACTTATAAACCTGTAGCCTTGGTTAACAGTCGCGCCAACGTCTGCTCTGATGAAGGTCTGCAAGGACCCTTGTCGAGTCAAGTAAGTTGTGTTCATGAGTTTACGAAGCTCTACAGCGGAGATAAATGGCGTCGAGTTTCCTGTCTTGACCAGACAGATTTGTAAACGATCAGTGGTCAAGATATGAATCATCTCAAAGATTGATGCTTCGGTCTCATTTGTGGTTGTAACTGTAGACCATAGATTAGGTCCGAGGTAGAGCTCGAATTGCGTGGAGGGTTTGTCGTCATAACCGCCATGAAGGAAATTGGCTCTGATTAGATATTCGTCGCCTCTGCTTAGGTTTAAGGTATAGCAGTTTCGTATGCCTTGTGGAAAACTCCGTAGGTTCCTTGTGGAAGAAGTAAAACAATTGGTAAAGAAAAGTGTTAGGTTTAAGTTATCATTCATTGATCTTGAGAAATTTATTTATTATACCATGTTTGTTGCTGAAACTGAGTCCGGTATGCTTGTTTGATGCTTTTACCAACACCGGTATTGATGAAATTTGCATCGGAAATGTAAGTTATGTTTGTTGTTTTCTCACGAAAGCTAGTTTCTCTAGGCGAACCGCAATCCAAACTAATAAATCCTGAGGACAAATTAAAGCAAAGAAGAAGCTTTTAGAAGAAAGTTTTGAATCAATGAAGATGTTATTTTTTTTTACCTGACTGATCTTGTGCAAGACAGAGAAGTAAAGCTGAGAAGATTTGCAGAAGAACTAAAGGAAAACAAGAAGAAAACGCCATTAACATTCGTCACTTTGATTTTATTTTTTTCCTTGTTTTTGTGAGACTAGAAAGTGAAGAATCAAAAGAAGATATATGTGGTTAATTAACGAAATGGAAGTGGGAATTGTTTTTCTTTTTGTCTGAACCGCGTTAGTACTGGTTACTATTATGAAGAGCTCAAAGTCAACCTTTTGGTAGAGGTGACCAATTGTGAATTTTTTTACGTTAAGAGGCGTTGACGTATAAAAATGCAGTATTTTAAATTAGAGTTAGACAATGACATACCGGAGAAAATTTTGTTAATATGAAAATTTCACCAATAATTTCGATTTTAAAAATATTCCTCTGGTTAAGTCATTACTTATCTATATTGAATAAGATTGTCTTTTAGCCAATAAGCTACACTTCATCGATCTGTAATAAATCAGATGAGGATATGGAGCTTATTGAAAAAATAATAGTATGTTGATTGTGCTGGAAAAAAAGGCAAGAAAAACATTAGAAATATGTTTTGATTTAATGAAAGTTTATTACCATATTTCATTTGGAAAAAATTACGAAAAATAAAATTAAAACGAAACATTAATTTTTATAAAAAAAAATTAAAATCAATGATTGAATAACACATGATTTTACTTGGATTTCCAAATTCATTCAAATCAATGATCCAATAACCCCCCTAAATTTTGAGAAGTCAGAAGGAAATTGGTTGGTGGCTTAATGAGGAGCTAATAATACCAATAAAACTATGGGGAGACGACCACGACTTCATTGAACAAAAAAAAAATGAGAGAAGAATATATATATATAGTCAAATATCAATTTGGCATCATTATTACAAGAATTATTGCCTAGAGGGCGATATACATGCATCTTCTATAAACATAACAATTGAAAACGTTTTTTTTAATTCGTAAATGTCTCATGTTATTGATATTTACAGTAAAATTACTATAACCCTTCTCTAAATTAATTTTTATATATATTTTAAATATTACATAAATAGAAAATACTTGCTAATTTAAATATTTTCCTTTAGGGAACTTGAAAATTATAATTTTGGTTGTATTTTATATTTGTTGTTTCCTATATTATCATCATAAATATCTTGATTTAATCTTCTTATAAATGATGATCAATTTATTAGATTTACCTATTTTACTGTACAAAACATACGATTATAATTAAAGACTCCACAAACAATTTTACGAAGTGGAACTTTCCCTTTTTTTCATTAACGATTATTACATACATGTGTCATACCAACGATAGACGGTCTAATCTCTAACATTCGAAATCACAGTAAATAGTTATATATATAATATATATATATATATATATATATTTATATCAGTTTGAAATTTTTCAGTTAGTCTTGCACCAACAAAGGGCTTCCACAATTGGTTGTTTATTATTGAAAATTAACGACAGTGGAACAGTAAAAAAGATTCAAAACATTACCATAAAATGTATTGTTGTCATGAGAATATCAAAAACTCAAATATGACTAAATTTTAAAATCAATTAATCGTTTTATGTATTACAATATGTTTAACTACATATGTTATCTTCTTGTTAATTCTATAACTGAATAGCTTTTCAACGTTGTAAACAATCCATAACAAAATAAAAATAATTAACTTTGACAAAAAATAAAAATAAAAATAATTAAATTTTATATAAAAAATTAATTAATTAATTACACATTAATATGTCGTTCAAAGAATCTATTTTCTAAAGAAGTTGGTATCTTTGGATTTTCCAATAAAATTATTAATTCGATAGATAAATCAATTTTAGAAAATTTTGATCATTTGACCGCATGCAAAAATGATTTAGAAAGTCTAAAACGCGATGCAGTAATCATCAACTTTCTCAGAAAGTAAACAAAAAAAGAATCAAAAACCAAAACCAAGTGGCCTAAATAGTATACTTTTTTTGGACATGATCGGCGAATGTCGATGTCCAAATCTCTCGAAAAGAAACGAGTGCACATGGCCTAACCTTATTAAGGTTTGACTGTTGACTTTGTTTTGTTTTGACGACAGCCATTGACTTTTTTTTCTTCTTATTACTCTCATAATAAAATTTACGAATTTATTATAGTCATATATGCGACATATAATATATTATTATAATAAATTAAATCAAATATTTTTAATAATGATATGACAGACTATTAGAAGAAAAAAAAAAGACATAATAAGAAAATGAGCTTTTAGTTTCTTATATATGAAATAAAATGTTTTATCCAGAACTAATAGCATTTTAGCAGAAAATATTATAGTAAAGATAAGAAAACATTATTAGATATTGTAAAATCTCATAATAAAATTACGAATTTATTATAATCGTATATGCGACATATAATATATTATTACAATAAATTAAATCAAATATTTTTATTGATGATATGACAGAAGATTAGAAGGAAAAAAGACATAGGAAGAAAATGAGCTTTTAGTTTCGTATATATAAAATAAAATGTCTTATCCAGAACTAATAGCATTTTGGGAATTTTGCCAAATGTGTCACATTTTGGGAAAATCCTAGCAAATGTACCACATTTGAAATGGATTTAGCATTCATACCACATTTGGTGTTTGTGTGGCAACTCTTGGACGATTTTGCTCTTCTCGGTGCGTCAGGTATGTGTCAGGGGAAGGAGCTACAGTAGACGTCGGTTGGGAAACGGGGACAACTTTGTGTCAGAGAAGGACAACTTTGTCTGAAAGACAACTTTGTGTCAGAGAAGAAGAACAAAACATTGCATTAAATGCAGTTTACATTTACCATGGACAATAATTATGGAATAGAGTGAATGATGTCCCTCAAGAATAAGTCCAGATCTCTTGATTGTCCATCGCCAGATGATGTGGTTTTACCAGCCAGAGATCTGGATTTACTCGGGGACAACTTCTCTTGATTGTCCATCGCCAGATGATGTGGTTTTACCAGCCAGAGATCTGAATTTACTCGGAGACAACTTGATCTTTATTTTATTCCGCCAGAGAGCCGAAGACGAAGATCTGGATTTACTCGGAGACAACTTTGTTTTACCAGTCAGAGGGACGAAAACGGTTACCAATGCGTTAGGAGAGAGACTGTGGACGGCAGAAAATTCGGAGAGTCCCATCAACCGCAGGGTCTTGTCTCAGTAAGTTGGAGGGTAGAATCGTCTTTTCACATGATGAATGTGGTATGGATGCTAAGTGGGCTCAGAAAGTGGTACTGGACCTAAACTTTTTGAAAAAGTGGTATTGGGGCTAATTTTCCATAGCATTTTAGCAGAAAATATTATAGTAAAGATAAGAAAACATTATTAGATGTTGAACAAAAAAAAAACATGTTCGTTACCAGAAGAAGAAAAAATAAACAGGCTTTGACCAAAAAAATCATCATTAGTTATATACTGTACTTTAATGAGTAATCAATCATGGATGACTCGATAAATAATACTTTCTTGTTAAAAAATGTATTCATATAGGAGTATCCATTAAACAGAAGAGAGTAGACTTTTATTTCAAGGTTGTATTTTGACATTGATGAGATAACGCATTCTAATCTGTCCCACATCGTAGACAATGTACTCGTTGTGCCATAAACAACTCTGCCAACAAAACGATAAGAGAAAATATTAGCCTAAAGATATGAAACAAATTAAATCTGAGGATAATTCTGAAAACAAATGAAAACTACTAAAAAACCTGATGGCCATTAACATTCACAGGACGTCCAAGTGGAACAACGAGTACATTGTCTACGAGTACATTACCATCCTCTAGAGTTCGAGCTTCTTCCGGGTTCGGTTGGTTCTTTTCTTCCCATTCCCTTTGTGCTGCACATTACACATGAAAATTTCGAAATATATATTACAGTGGTTCTTCATCTTCTCCTCTACTTTATTTGTCTTCTTAACTTTTTGTGTTCTATTGTCTTTCTCTTTAGGTTTAGTTGCAAAGCCTCTTGTGCGATTCGTATAGACATTTTGAGAATAATGGTTGTTTAAGGATGTACGAAGAATCCTATGAGACATAACTCCAGCACCTGCTGGTGAAGCCAAACCCCAACCGGTGGTGAAGATCTTTCTCATCAACCAAAAACGTTGCAAAAAGGAAGCGTGTAGGTCAATTTATGTAGAGATCTTAGTTAGGTTCTTTCTTTTGTGTAATCGTAGGCATAACAACTTTTTATATATATAAAAAAATAAAAACTTTTTGCAAAATAACCCTTAATTTACTACAATTTTTACTATTTTTTGGTAATAGAGTTGCCATTTACTATACATTTTTGCAACACTTTTTGGGGTTCCTAATCGGGTCAAATTTTGTTTAATTTTGACCCGGAAATTTTCAATCGGATCTTTCCTTATTTTTGACAAAATTAAAAAACGAAAATTAATCAATAAAATCTAAAAAATATATATTTTCTCAACTAATTACTATACCTAAACTCTTTATTTATGGCATATTCTCTACAATTTTTATAGATATAGAAATCAAATATGATTATTTAATGCTAATATAACAAATTTGAACTAATTTCCTAAAACCTCTCTACCTAATTAAAACATAAATATATGATTCTCATTTCACTTTTATATGATCTTATATTTATATTATTTTGAACTATTATAAAATATATATACTTAATAAAAAAATTCGATTTTTTTTCTGCATATGCTATGATTCAAATTTTTTTAAACAGACATATATTACTCAATCGATGAAGAAAAAAGTATGTGTACAATCTATATTAACATTTTTGAAAAACAAATTTGCGCGTTTCATCAGGTCGTATATTTTTTTTTACTCAGACCCGGAATTGAGCCATTCAGATATTTTCTTAATTTCTAAAATTATCTAAAACGGGACAATATACCTCGGTGAAATCTTAAAATTAACAAATCGAAATACAATTATTTAGTATTTTAATATACATTTTTAAAATATTTTTACGGGTTGGTCTAAAACACACACTAATTTGAAAAAAAAATATATATATATATATATATATATATATATATTATAGAAACTATTTGAAAGCAAACTTTTAAATTGACTCGAATTATATGTCTTTTAAATAAAAGTGTTATTAAAAGAAATAACAAAATGAT